GGGTGGGAATAAAAAAAAAGCCACAGGCTTGTGGATATGAGGGTGCAGGAATTTGGGTTGGGGTATGTGAGGGGCTCAAGGCAGGGGCTTCCAGTGTATGATAGGCTCAGATCTGGGGTCTGTGGGAAGGGGGAGTGCAGGAATGTTCTGATGCTGTGGCCAGATGGGGGCTTGGCCCCAATTGGGGATGTGTTGGCCAGGCTTCATTTTTAAATAAAATACTATGTCAAACACAAAAAGTTTCTGCATTGTCTTTATTTCTGAGAAGGGCAGGGAACCTGTTTTGAGTCAGGGGTCATTAACCCACAGAAAAGTCAGTTGGGGCCACACAAGTGAGATGAAAAAAAAACCTCCTCCAAAACCCCTCCAAGCCTCATTAATGTGGCCCCAACTGTGCTGGTGGGAGCAGGGGACATGGTACTGGGGAAGGGTGCTAGTGGGTGCTGGGGCAGGGGACAGGGTGCCAGTGTGAGCAGGGTTCTGCAGCTGGGGGCAGGGGAGAGGGAACAGGGTGCCAGGAGGGCCGGGGACAGGTTTCTGCAACAGGGGACAGGGTGCCAGTGGGGGCAGAGAGTCCCCTGCACCAGCCTCCTCCCAGGATTCTTCCCTCCCCCCCAGAGAAGGGAAGCCCTGTCGCATGCCTCCTCCAGGCCCGACTCCCTCTCCCATGGAGCAGGGAAGCCCGCCCATGCACCCGACCCGCCCTCCCACAGAGGAAGGAAGCCCCATCGCATACCTCCCCCCAGGACTCCTCCCTGCCCCCCCCCCAGAGAAGGGAAGCCCCAGTGTGCGCCTCTTACTGGGACTCCTCCTCCCTCCCCTGCACGCCCCAGCGCGGGTCTTCCCCCGGGACTCCTACCTCCTCCCCCCGTGCAGCAAGTCCCCAGAGTGCCACAGACCTGGAGGAGGGGAGCAGGCAGCACACTTCTGGAAACCCTGGAAGTGGCGTGCAGCTGCCAGACTTCCCTCCACCCCGCGGGAAGCTGGCACTACCTCCATTGTCGCTGGAGGTAGGTAGAGGGGCTTCTTGGGGGTAGGGAGAATAGGAGGGGCCCTGAACGCCTTGCGATCGACTGGTCGAGCCCTCCCGATCGACCAGTCAATCAGGATCAACAGGTTGGTGACCACAGCACTAATGTGATCTATGCCATCAAATGCCAACAATGCCTCACTGCCATGTATATTGGCCAAACTGGACAGTCTCCACGAGAAAGAATTAATGGACACAAATCAGATATACAAAAAGGCAATACAAAAAAACCTGTTGGAAAACACTTTAATCTGCCTGGACACTCATTAATGGATCTCCAAGTCACCATTTTGTTTCAGACCAATTCCACAATCTAAATACAGAGAGAAGGGTTGGAACGTAACTACATTCACAAGTTTAATTCTTATGCAAATTGTATGAACTGGATATCAATTGGCTGGCACACTATCTTCCACCTTTTAATGACTTAAACAACCAAAGTTTTTCCTGTTACAGACTAACTCGGCCGCCCCTCTGAAGCTTATCTACTCACTGTCCCTCTTTTTTTTTCTTCTTCCCATCCTTTTTTTCTCTCTCTCTTTTTCCTCCTCCCCCCCTTCCCTGCACCCTCCTTCCCTTATTTATTCTTGGATCTGGACTTCTAACACTCCTGTCATCTGAAGAAGTGGGTTGTGCCCATGAAAGCACATGATACCATCTACATGTTTTGTTAGTCTTTAAGATGCTACTAGACTATTTGTTGTTTTTTAAGTTTTTCCTGTTACAGACTAACTCGGCTACCCCTCTGAAGCTTTTGAATACAATTCCAGGAGCATTCCATAGTCCTGGGAAAACCAAACCCTTACCTTGTTTTAAGTTATGATTTGAGGAAACTGCATGCCAAATTTGGTGATCCTAGTTCTTACAGTTTAGGAGGCTCTCTTGAACAGACTCATAGATGGACAAAGCTTCTAAAATATATAGTAGGATATTTATCTTTTGGTAACAGTGAACAAAGCTGAACATACTCCAGAATAGCAGCTGATGTTCTCAAGCAGGCCTTTATTCAAAAACTTTCTTCATTGTTTGTTTAAATTCCTTCATCTAGGTTGGAGAAGGGTGAAACTTCATCAATTCGGGTGATATTAAAGAGCCTGCTGTGAGTTCCTTGGCCTGATTGCTGCGGAGTTGTTGCTAAGTTTCTGTTGTCTCCGATCCTCCCATGCAGCCAACAGGCTTGTCTGCACAGAGACATCCAGGACAACTCACATGGACTAATTAAAGATGTGATTTTAAAGCAGATTAGCTAAACCACATTAAACCTGTGTATGAAAACCAGTACTCAGAATTAAAGTGCCCTTACTTCTATTTATCTTAATTCACCTCCGAAGTTAAACTAACCCAAAGTAAAACCACTTTAATTCTGAATAGCAGTGTCCACACATTAAATCAATGTGGTTTAACTAATCCACTTTAAAAAGTTATTTTGGATTCATTTTCCTGAATGTCCCTTTGTAGACAAGCCGTAGGCTTTAACTTGGCAGAACACAAGATTTTCAGTGTAAGAGGTTCAATTGTAACTGTCATGTCCACTTGCCATACATAAAAGTCCTAAAATGTCAAAAGCCAGGATGTATACATAGCAATTTTAAAAAATCCACCTGAACAATATTTCTCTGAGACATTTCAGCTGGTGACAGCAGTGCCACCAATAGTAAGGCTAGGGACAGCAGCTGCTGGAATATATAGTAGGGGGAAAAAGCTTATGAGGCTAAAGTCCTATTGCAAAAAGAAGTTGGATTGATTTCCACTCTGGATTTTATTTGTTTACACTTTGCCTGAAATCTTGGAAGGCAATGTAATTAAATTATTACTTTGTTGTTTTAGTTTGAAAAATAACCAAATCCACTGGGAAAAGCAGGAAACTTTGGAAATATAAACAAGTTGTTTTCAAGTGAGTTGTTCAGTTTTCTATCACAGTGCCTGCTCTTTCCCCAGCATGCCCCTTCTTGTCTTTTTCTTCACCTTTTCTTCCCTCCATAATGTCCTTATTTCTGTCTTAGAAATCTTCTCCTCTAGTCTCTTAGCTCCATTTCATAAAAGACAAGTTAGTTGCCAGTTGTGCACAAGTCTGGACATACAGGGAGGTTGGCAGTTCATGGAGTAGACCAGACTCACCTGCTAAGATGCACCCTTCTAACTATATCTGAGGTGAGATGAGGTATGAGTGTGGTTGCTTGTTGTTGCTTTCAGTGAAAATGTTTCACATATATGGGTATATCTACACTACAGAGGGGTTTTTTTTTCCGGAAAACAGCCATTTTTCCGGAAAAAAAAACCTTCAACTATGTCCACCCTGCAATTGCGTTGTTCCAAAAGAAAAGAAAAAAAAAACAGACATTGGTAATCCTCATTCTACGAGAAAGAAGCCTTTTTCTGAAAGAACTCTTTCTGAAAAAGCTGTATGTGGATGGGGAAGAGGGAGTTCTTTCAGAAGAAGAGGAAAGAGGAAAAAGCACAGGTGCCCTGGTAGCCATTCCATCCATAGTAATCACAGCTGGAATGCGAGATAGCATCCACACCATTCAGTGTGGACGCTATCTTTTGAAAAAGCAGATCGCTTTTTCGATGCGCTTTTGCAGTGTGGACGCTCTCTTTCGGAAGTTTTTCCAGAAGATGTCTTCCGGAAAAGCTTCTTCCAAAAGAAGCCTGCAGTCTATACATAGCCATAGTGTCCCACCTGCAGGGCATGACAACCAAATAAAAACCTTTCTTGTGTACCTAACTGTGGATGAGCAGTAGTTTGTTGTGAGCTCAGAAGCAATCCTATCATGGCTTCTCTTAAGGGATTGTGACCTTAATAGTCATAAGAACCTTGTATTTTGTTAACATATTACTTCAACAGACTTAGTTTCCTAGTTTTAAAACCTAGAAAATCAGATGTCAAACTTAATCACATTTCTTCTGACCCTAAGTATCCCTCACTGTAGCATCACATTATTAGTCATGATAAACATTGTTAACAGTAGAAACACAAGTTGAGTGAATTAATATCTTTCATTGGACCAACTTCTACACAGAGCTCTTCTGCAGGTCCTGATCTTTCTAATAGCAAAGGGCGGACACAGCTATCATAACACTTTTAATTCTTCACAGTAGTATTTTGGAACTAATTTGTTGCTGAGTTCTAACGGTTTCCTGACTTTTGCAGGAGCTTTCTGGATACAAACTATGAATACTGACCTGCAGTGACCTCTTATGGAAAGCAACAGAAAATGTCCCACAGGGAACAAACCTACACTGGCCATGGTAGCATGTGGGAACTACATGGCCTTGTAAGTTTTTCCAGCTTAACTTATATATTTCATTGATCAAGGTTAGTTGGAAGTGCCTCAACCTTCCTAGCAATAGGTCCTGCCATTTACATGGAGGTATTGCTGCAGGGGAGACACATGCCATCCATTAGCAATGGCAGTCCAGGGGACCAGAACAGATTATCTTTTACTGGAAGCAGAAAGCAGTAATATAGTACAATCAACACAAAAATATTAAAATAGATTAAATACCCCAGATGGAGAAAAATAATGGAACAGAAGCCAATTAAGAACAGGTATACAAAGCCTCGCATATTTTATTTTTGCAAAATATAATATTTCCCCCATGAAGTACAATGCAAAGAGAAATATCTTTCCTTGAGAAAGTGTGATGAAATCTTTAATGATTATACTCGGGAACTTGGTTTTATGTTTCCTACAAAAAATGCCACCTCTCTGCCTCTATTCCTGATCTGCCCTTCCAAAAACAGAATAGGCTACATCTAAACTGGCATGATTTTCTGCATCTGCTTTTGCGGAAAAACTTGCCAGTCTAGACGCAGCCTAAATAGTGTACAGGCAGTCCCCGGGTTACGTACAAGATAGGGACTGTAGGTTTGTTCTTAAGTTGAATTTGTATGTAAGTCGGAACTGGTACATATTTTGGGGGGGGGACGGGGAGCTGGAGTTAGGTGGAAAAGACCCTGATTCTCATACAACTTCCTTATTCTAAGAAAAACACATACTGTTTTGATATGAAGGTTTTTTTGGTTGATATTTTAATTAAAAATTGATCATAAGTTTCAGTGTTTCATGCTATATCCAAATCTTCCTTTTGGGGTACCTGAAAGATCCCAGTTATTCATTTAATAGTCAGAATCTTTGTTTTTTATAACTAAAAAAAGTTTATTCAATGCATATTACTGTTCCAAATAGAATTTGCTACAGATGGTTCAGTGAAATGGGTATTAAGTGTAATCAATAGTCATTGGAGAGCACAGTGAAATATTGATACAATCAAAGCTGTTGTTGTATTCTGCTGAGCAGAAAATGGAAATCCCTTCCTGTGAAGTGTGTGTGAGAATTTATCCACAGGATTAATTTTAAAGAAAAATTCTGTGTTGGAA